TCTCCATATTTTCCAGTTGACACTCCATCAAACTTTGTATGACAAAACCAGCCACTTCACCTTTGCGCACCCAGACAAGTGCAGCCTAATTATGCATGCATGACAAGGCCGTAGTCACCATATACATTGAGGGGGACATGTGCCCCCCCCACCAATGCCCAAAATGTCTCCCCAATATATAACTGAAACTGAAAAACAAATATTAACTTGGAGGACATTATTGCACTTGGTTGACTATTTTTCTATTATCTTGTAAATATGTATGATGTAAATATTTCATGTTTCTTTCAGATAAAACACATTTTTGACTTGTGAATGAGTCAATGGAATTTCTTGTAATAATGAAAAAATACTGGCAATCATGTCCGCCTGGCACAAACCACATGTTTTGGACAGCTGTTTAGTGACAGAATGTCCCAGCATCATGGTTCTTATATTGCCAGATTGCAGAGAGTCTCCCCTCTTCATATATGGCAGAATATGTCATTTTCCAACTTGCTATGGTAAGATACATGTACAAATGTAAGAATTTAGTCATACGGATTTGTTTTTTTCATTGATATAAAAATTAATATAAAATACAGGCACATAGCAGGACATGTAATGATGGCGAATCTGGTTAGCCCAGATTGTCCTGAAAAAAACAAGATATAGCATGTGTATGTAGCCTTTATAATGACTGTGATATGAGCTTAAAAGTAAAGGCAGTAAAAATACCCCAAAAAGGCCTAGGGCCCATAGGGTTAAGTCAGTGTTTGTAGGCTATTTTTTGCACGCAGGTCCTGTTCATTTCAATGTTGATGACAATTATCAAAAACATCTGTTAGAATGATTCTTTCTTTGTCTTTCAGATAAGGTAACAATACTGAGTGCTGTATCACTTCATATTCACCCACGCAAAGTTACAGCAGTAAGTAATAGTTACTTTTCTGTTGCTGTTAAGTGTAAAACAGCACTTTTTTTACATCTAAACTGAGGGAATAGTGTATTTCAGATTTTCAATGTATTGAATACACCACAAAGGTCGTGGACGTTAACGCACAATTTATTCAGGGACTGTTGCGTGTGGAGATGGTGATTAGACCCCATTTGGTTGTCTCATTAGGCCCTTTTACACTGCCAGATTTTCTGCAAATGTTGGGCCGTTTTGCCAGCCAGCTGCGAGCGTTTAGACACACAGAGGTGGAATGGCGAGTTGATCCGAGGCGCCCAATTTTCCGCCTCGTAGGGTAGTCAGATTGGCGGAACCCTTTTAGTTTAAAAAGACAGAGGCGGCCTTCCACAACGGGAAGGGGCTGTTGAAGACTTGTGGGAGGAGCTGTTGATGATGCTGCAAGTGCGAGCCACTGGCGGTAGATAAACAGGAAACAGGTGACAGCAGGAATTAGCGAGCAGCTAGTAGCAAGAGGGAAACGCAAATCTGACAGACACTGTAGAGACAAGTAGAGAGGCCAGTACTGTATGTCAGAGGAGACACACCTCCTCACCAGCTGTCCCTAAATAATCTTAATATTGAAAGGAAACGAAATATACCCAGATGAGGTCGGAGGTCTATAACTGCACATATGTATGTGTCTATCTATTTAGAAAAGTGTTTGAAGCATTTTTGGGGTTGTTTAATTGATTATTTTGTTTTTTGAAGTGACTCCGTGCATGGCAAATGCAACAGTGCGCAGCAACAGTTGACAATTCAGTTGCTATTCACTGAACAGAGCATGCAGAGTACCGTCTACGAAGGTGTCGAAGCTGGCATATCCCTCAGAAAAAGGGGAAGAAAAAAAAGGTTGAAGAGGCAAACAAAGAAGCTCAAGGTAAGGTCAAGTAAAGCAACGTTTATCACTTACAAGAATGGGTGATTAGGTTAGTACGTGCAATATGTGTTTTTGCACTGTCTGTTTGAAATTTTTATGGTGTTTCAAATGATTATGGTGAAACCTATCATTCAGGAAGGTTGTTACATCCTTCATTTTCAATACAATTCATGGAAAAAATTAAAAGCAGCGTTGGTCGGGATGCACAACATATGTGGTTCATATTTCTTGATAGTGTCTAACAATAAAAGGGTCAAAAACTACCTGCTCCATACTGTGAAGGTCAGAATATGAACAGTATGAAAGGATCTTTTAGAGGTTTTCGCAAAGGCCCAGTTGGGGTAGCCACAGGTTTGAAGTGCTTCCCTGATGTGTTTCTGTTCCTTCACCTTCCCCTCTGTCCTCATGGGCACATTTTCTGCCCAATGATTCAGTGTCCTGATAACTTCCAGCTTGTGCTCCAGTGGGTGGTGAGCTCAAACAGCAGGTATTGGTCTGTGTGTGTAGGTTTTCTATATACCTCAATGTTAAGGTTTCTGTCCTCTTCAATGTGTACTGCACAGTCTAAGAAGGGTAGACTGTCTCCTCTGGCATCGTCCCATGTGAATTGGATATTGGGGTCCACTGCATTAATGTGTTCTGTGAAGGTTTCCACTTCCTCAGTTTTGATTTTGACCCAGGTGCCGTCCACATACCTGAACCAGTGGCTAGGAGCAGTTCCTGTAAAAGGTGGTCAGAGCTCTCTTCTCCACATGTTCCATGTAAAGATTGGCCACTATAGGGGACACCAGTGAGCCCATAGCACAGCCGTGCTTTTGTTAGTAGAAACCCTTGCTGTACTTGAAGCAGGTGGTGGTCAAACAAAGATCCAGCAGGTCACAAATGTGGTCTGGGGTGAAGTTGGTCCTGTCTGGACGGGAGCTGTCTTGTAGCAGACGTTTCCTCACTGTCTTCAGTGCTTCTTTGGTGGGAATGCAAGTGAAAAGTACAGTGACTCATATGATACCATAGTTTTGTCAGAGTCTAGAGTTATCTCTCTGGTCTTGTGGTAAAATCCTGAGAGCTCCTTACATGGTGTGGAGTGTTGCCAACCAGGGGAGCTAGGATCATAGCTAGGTGTTTGGAGATGTTGTACATGACCAAGTTGATGCTGCTGATGATGGGTCTTAGTGGTGCTCCTTCCTTGTGTGTATCTTGGGGAGTCCACAGATGCATGGGATGGCCTCACCAGGGTACAGTCGATAATACAGTGGTCTGTCAATGATTTTGTCCTTTTCCAGTTTTTGTAGATAATCTATGACCACCTTTTTGTAGCCACTGGTGGGATCACGCCTCAGTGTTTCGTATGTGGCTGTGTCGCTGAGCAGAGCAGTGATTTTGGCATGGTAGTCTGCTGTCTTCAGCACCACTGTGCATCTTCCTTTGTCTGCAGACAAGATGGTGATGTTCCAGTCTTTCCTCAGTGATGCCAGGGCCTTCCTTTCTTCAATGGTGAGGTTGGAAGTTGGTGTTTTTGCTCCAGAGAGAGCGGCTGATACCTTTAGTGTCAGTTGTTCTGCCTCTGTGTCTGCCAGCTTATTTCTGATGGCTGACTCTGTTGCTGTGATAAGATCTACCACCAGTATCTGTTCTGGTGTTACGGCAAAGTTCAGTCCCTTGGCCAGTACATGCTTTTCTGGTTGGGTGAGCTCTCTGTCTGATAAGTTTTTCACCCACTTCTCATGTCCGGATGTGCTGTGTTGTGATCCTTGTTTCTCCAGGTCAGTACGTCTGTTCTATTGGAGAAGTTATGACGAGACTGTAGTGTCAGAACTTTCTTGTCTGTCATTCCTTGCCTTTGGAGTGTTGCAAAGTCTTCGCCTTCTCAACAAACTTGGAGACATCTTCCAGGACTTCCCTGGGTAGAAGTGGTGTCAGTTCTTCCAACATCTGTTCTGTCTTGGATTTAAGTGCATCAATGTTAAAGTGACTCTGTCTCTCTCTCTCGTTGAGTAGCTGGTTTTGAGCCCTCTGAAGGATAGTCGCAGCCCTGTGTCCTTTCATGGTGGAACCCAAGCGTAGGCTGTTAGGGATGATCCTGTGTTGTCTGCATCTCAGATTGAAACGCAGGTGGTTCCTGTAATCAGGAACATTAGTCCTATTTATTTTTTTTACAGGCTAGCATACTTTAGAGTTTGAACTTTTGTTTTAAGGATTCTTTTCAGCATTTAAGTTGTTTCCACCTTACATGGCTTGTTACAAATTACTATTTAAAGAATAAATATAAAATCTTACTATAATCTTTTGTTGCATTTCTTTTTCTTCCGTTAGATGGGCAGTAGATATTTTATGTAATACTTTACGTTTGGAGTTGTCTAGTGGTCAAGCAGGGTGTTATTTTAAAATTTTCAACACTAAGTAGCATTCAGACAGATAGTAATAGTAAAAAAGGCAAGTGCAGTTAGTTACAGGGGTTAAAGCAAGAAAAAATGTTGTGCCTGAAATGTGGAGCACAGAAGATTTGTGTGCCTGAAATCTGAAATCTTTTCTGGAGTGGGGGGCTTGGTGTTGCGGTCACAAAATGAAGAAATAGAAATGTATGTGTTGCAAACGAACGTGTTTATTATCAAAACGAACAAAAAGATTATAGCTTTAGTAGTTACTTTTCAGATTAAACTTTTATAGCATAATGAGTTTATAAATAAAGATTAAACTTTCAGTGGTTACCAGACTTTTTGACTTATAGCTCCTACATCTCTTTTTTTTGCCTTGGTGCTATTTATTTTTAGAAGCTAAATCATTTAGGCTGTTTGCAAAATTGTATCGCGTTTGATGTGAATTAAACAGGCAGTTACGTCGAAATTTTGCTCCTGGGCAAGCACGTCATCATTGAAATGGATCATATAATGTTGTGGTGGTGACTTTAAAACTTCAGCATAGAGGATTTTTATTGCAACTTTTGTTTCTGTCTGGTTTCTGTTACTTTACCTTCAAAATTACCACTGGCTTACCGGAGCTTCTCCCGCTCTGTCTGTGCTCTGTGTCTCAATGTGACATGATGTGAAAGCATGAACAGGTGTCAGTGTTGATTGGCTATCACTTGTGCCATATAACTAATCAGAGGGGGCTGTAGGCAGGACATTGTTACAAAGCCCAGTGCAGTGGGGACTGCAGGCAGGGAGCGAGACGGCTGTATCGGAGCCAAAGGAGTGAGTTTTAAAATACATTTATTTGATCAGTTATTGATGAAAAAACATCCAATACCCATTATGGTAAACAGTAGGTTGTGTTTACTCGCACACTGTGCGCCTAAATCATTTTCCCGGTTCATACATTCTCCTGGCTATGCGCAAGTAACCCCCCCATCAGTAAATAAATGTCCATTTTATGGCATGATGGACAAGCATTCATCAGGTTGGTGGCCACAGCGCTTTCTCTCCAGGTCTGTCGGCATTTCGCGGCACCTCCCACACACACACCATGAGGGTCCAGCAGTGGATCCTGGGACGGGTAGAGCACCTGATGTGACTGATCTCAGGTCAAAAATGTAGGATGGGTCATTTTGCAACACAGCCCGGATCATCTGATGAGATGCGCTGAGGTCCATGCTCCCAATCAAGGACTGCAATGCAATGCAGATTGTCATTGTTACAGAGTTATAATATAATTTTGTGGGTGTTGTGAATCTTTGGGACAAAGTCAAACTTGACTATTGTCCCAAAGATTTATTTAGAAAGGTCATGACTAAACTTGACCATTATTATAAAAAAAATTGTTTTATCCTTTATAATATTTGAAAAGTAAATTTAAAAATTACAAAACAGTTCAAACTACACTATCACCACTGCACTCTTGTCTTCTGATGCAGTGTCCCAATGATATCAAGTCAAAACACAGAAAAAGAGGATTGCAGTCAGAGGCTCAATGTTAAAAAAAAGATTTCTTTACTCCATTTCTGCAGAAATTATATGTTTTGAAAATTACAAAAGCATATACAGCACAAAGGTGTCTTGCTTATATGCTAGACTTTTTTTATTTCTATGTAGTACTTTTACATTGCATTTGTACTGTGCTGCTTTCTATCAGTCATCTGCCTCTTAGTCACAATACACATCCTGTGTTTTGCTGCTGAGGTAAGGCACAATAGTTGGAGCACATATTAAACGCACTCAAAAAACATCTTTTGTAACAGAAACACACACTTCTATATAAATGTGTGTGTGTCTGAGTTTGAAGTTTATATCAGAACAAAAAAATAAAAGTAATAATATACATACATCCTCATAAGCAATCTGCTCTGCCTGGAGAGCCTGTATCCGCTGCAGTTCCTCCAGTTCCAGCTATAGTTCCGACAGTAAACCGCGGCCGGATCCCCGTCCTCCATCTCTTCCTCCTCTCCCACCTTAGCCCCATCGTCCGTGGCCTCGAGCACGACCTCAGCCCGTGGACGTGCTCGGAGCCGGGGACCCAGACGTGCTGTCATGTGAACTCTAAAAATAAAATAAAAAACGATTCATATATAGAGTCTTTCACAAAAACAACGTATTTCTAACAAGTGATAGACATCATTGTTATTGTTAGCTTTTCCTTGTTATCCCGGCGGTAAAAGAGCTAACATTAGCTGTTTACTCATAGCATTACATTGTTATGACACTTGTAACTTTACCTATATAACGTGCTAAAATGCTAGCTTGGTAACGTTAGTTGTGGACACTGAAGTGAGTAATAAGAGCCACGTTTGTTTCAACATGCCCTGTAATAACTTTACAGTTTGTCATAGTTACCTGTGAGTCTGACGTTGTTGAAATTTGTAGCTAAGTGATAGCGTTGCTCTTGGTGTAAGTCGGTCCTCTCTCTCCTCTCAAAACTCACGCTGTGCCGTCTCCTTCTCCCACCTGAGGAGGTGTGTCAGTAGGCGGCGGAAAGGGGAGGTCGAAACAGCTCAGAGGGGAGGACGCATGACGTCAGACGGAGCACAGGAGGGAGGGGGAAGAGTGTGGAGGAGATGCAACTTTCAAATCTCTCCAACACTGTAGACTTATTAACACTCAAACAGGGGGGTTCCCACATCTCTTGTAAGAATCCTGTTTTGTTGGTATGCACACCAGTCAATGTATGTGAAATGGGGTGATTTTACATCTGCTCCATTCAGTGTATGCAATGGAGTTAGGCTGGGGAGCATTTTATCCCCCTTTCTTTTTAATATTTACATGAACGAGTTATCCAACCAGCTAAACAGCTGTAGAACAGGCTGTATGGTTGGTGACACCATTATCAACCACCTGATGTACGCAGATGATCTGGTTATCCTGTGTCCATATAGCGCTGGCCTTCAACAGTTACTAAGAGTATGCTCTCAATATGGCTCTGACTTTGATATTAAATATAATGGAAAAAAGAGTAATATTATGATAGTCAGAAGCAAGGAAGACAATAAATCGTCATTTCCTGCCTTCTCTCTCTCTGGTACTGTCCTCAAAATATGTGAAGAGGTTAAATACTAAAGACATTATCTAACTGATGACCTGTCTGATGATAGGGACAGTCAAAGACAACACCGAATGATGTATGCACAGGCTAATATGTTGAAACGCAAATTTAGTATGTGCTCATTGTCTGTGAAGACCACTCTTTTTAAAACGTTTTGCACCCCAATGTATACTGCCCACTTGTGGCGGCGCTACAAAAGTAGCAGTATGCAGAAACTCAAGGTGGCATATAATGGTGGCATGAGGATGCTGCTTAAAGTGCCAAGAAGGAGCAGTGCAAGCCAAATGTTTGTCAGTGTTGGTGTATCTACATGTCCTGCTGTACTCAGGAATCTCATGTACAGTTGTATGTGTAGGATATCTGAGTCACCAAACAGCATAATTTCAGTGCTTGCAAATCCTGCCATAAGTACGGTTAGGTTCACCTCAAGGCTTTGGAACCACTGGCGTTTTAGTTTATATGCAAATATTTGATATTTTTGTATCTGTCTGTCCTTTTATTGTGTCTTGTATTTTTATTGTACAGTACTATGGACCGCCTCTATGTCCGGAATAAAGCGTGGAAATTGAAATAGGATCATTATAAAAAAATCCACCCCCTGTACTAGGGCTGGGCAGTATATCGATTTTTTTACAATATATTTTCAAGCAAGATATAGATTTAGACTATACCATTTATATCAATATAGTTGTGCCACACAACTCATACCAGTGTTCATCCCTCCTCTCTCACACTCTCCGCACAGCTCCGCTCCACTCACTCACTCACTCACACTTTCTCCATCAACACTCAGAGAGAAACAGAGCTGCTACTTTGTTTTATCAGTCTGTAATTAGTCTACAGTGCAACATCGGTCTATATGTTGCACAAGCTACGCTAAATCCGTCTATGAGATGAATGAAGTTACTGCAATAGCACATGTACAATACTGTGGGCCTTTCCCCTCTGCAACTTTTAGCTGCATACAGGCAAGCCATGCTGTGCCGGTTTGTCTTTCTGTTATTAGTTTAGATGCGCGGTGCCACACTGAGCTGTGTACCTACTCCTTCTCTAGAGTAGGTCCAAAAGCTGAGCCACCTGCACGTAAGCAAGTAGCGGTGGCGTCTAGCTGACAGCAGTGAACCCCAGACCACCCCTTCTCTCCCCTTCAAACAAGCTGTGTGTTGTGAGACTCTCCTCAACTCTGTCTGCCGGAGACCAGAGAGAAAAGTGTCTTTAAAAGTCTGTGTGTTTAGACTCACAAGTCAGTCTTTAGACGCTTTGCTTAAATAAAGACTGATGTCTTTCTCCCTGCTTTTGTGTTTAGATGGGCAGATACAATTTCAGAGTTCAAAAAAAACTCCCTACGTTGCAGAACCAATAGTAAATTTGCAGGGCGGTCCTTCGGTGGCTCACTGAACTGTTGTGCTCGTAAACATAGTCCGACTGTGTTAAAAGTTTTAAACAAAGTCGCTGTAAGTCCTTCATTTCCACAATCTTGATAAAACGGAGTTAAATCTCTTGGCATACATTTTCAATCTCTCTGTGTGTTTGTTTCCTTGCAGACGAGAAAAGGGGGGGCGCACATTTCCGGGAGGGCATGTCCTTTTCAAAAATGCAAGAGGCGTTGCTTTGTTGCCGGCCATTTTCTCCGGTGTGTTAAACACATTTTAGAAAGGAGTGTCCCCAGACTATCAGAAGGCGGAGATCTCTGATGGTCTGGTGGCGAGACTACTGTGTGTTCAGCTCTCAGTACTTTTGTAGCTTCTAACTCAATCTCTGGTTTGGAGTTTGGAGTTTCTCTCCTGCGTCCTCCGTTTGTACTTTAGATATCTGCTTTATTCTACGGTTTCATGTTCGCCATCAGCTGTATTAGAAGTCGCTGCTCAAAAACTCAACATTTCCTTATTTTGCTGCTTCAAAATTAAAGTTTTTACATAAAACGATAAGGGGGGACTTTTATCTTTAAAACTCTATAGGAATTAAAATATGTTTATTACCAAATTAGCTTTTCTTCAATTAAAACAAGTCTAAAATTACGGCAGAGAGGAAGAGTACAAGCAGAATCAGCCACAGTGAAATGTTAAATGAAGAGCTGCAGACAACAGGCTCTTACTGCACCTCTGCAAACAGCTCACCTCCAACAGGTAAACTTCTTTTACCTGCCCTGCTGTGGAAAAACACATGCAGTCAAAATAACAGGGGATGTTAGCCATGGATCAGCTTGCAACTGAACATGTAGTCCACATCGTAGAAATTACCGAGATATATATTGTCTATCGCAATTCGGCCTGAAAATACCTAGATATGAATCTTTGTCCATATCGCCCAGCCCTACCCCGTACAGTTATCATGAACGATGAAATAAGCCAGAGATCAAAACTGTTTTTTTATACCAGGCTGTAACTATGTTTATTTTAGCTGTAAAGTTGGGCATTTTAACATAGTAGTCTATGGGGATTTGCTGTTTTGAAGCCAGCCTTAAGAGGCCAGTGAATTGCAGTTTTTGGCACTTCTGCGTTGGCTTCACTTGTCAGCCCTGAAGGTTGCTGCTTGGTATGAGCGCATGTTTTCTGAAAGGAGGAGCAAGCAAAAGAGGGAGAGGATGGACTTTTCTAATTTTTGTAGACAGGCTGGGGACACATATTTTTGTTAGAAACCCATGCAAAGAATGTTAAGCCTTTGGTTAAATATCAATATAAGCCTCAAAAATCCAGTACTGTTTAGGTTCTTATGATTTTACGACCAGCATTAGCTGCAAAGACTACAGGCCAGTTTACCTTAAGATGCCTCAGTTGCTCTTTCTGTTGATCAACACATTTTTCAAACTCCTCCAGAAGTCTCTCGAGTGCAAAGAGCTCTTGTCCAAGTTTCTTGATCTTATTTTGAGGAAATTCTCAATGTAGAGAGAAAAAAATAAACAATGACACACTTTAAGACACCCAAATTTTGCTCTGCATAGTAATAAAACAGAAAAACCGAATGTTACCAGATTTGTCTAATAAAAAAAAAAAAATCACTGTGTCATACCAACTACTGACAGATCCAGCAGGCGCTGTAAGGATGATATTCTGTCATGAATGTGGTGGCTGATGTCCTCCAACTCACTCATGGTGCTAAAAAAGGGACACAATCAATTCATTAAAGCTTTTTACACAACATTAACACTTACATTCATTAAAGCTTTTTACACAACATTAACACTTACATGGATAAAGTAGATGGTGAGAACTTTAACATTAGAAAATACAAGCTACTTCATACCTCCGGTTCATGTGGTAATATGAAACTGTACAGTTAAAACAAAGACAAATGGTTAAATAATATAAATTGATCATTCAAAATATAACACAACATTGTCTATATAAACCACCAGACTAGAAAAGAGTAACAGTTTCCCAACTGAAACTGTGTTTTTAACAGTCTTTAGCTTCTCTGGCTACTGTGCTTTAAGACCTGCTCCAGTGTCTGGATGAGGAAAAAGACGTGAAATCAGCCTTTTTGTGTTTCCCTAATAGAATAAAAAGCCCCTTTTAAACTGCCAGATTTTACATGAATGTTGGGCCGTTTTGCTGGCAAGCTGCAAGCGTGTAGACACAGAAAGCCGGATTGGCGAGTTGATCTGAGGTACCCAATTTTCCGCCTCATAGGGCAGTCATATTGCCAGAACCCTTTTAGTTTAAAAAGACCAAGGCGGCCTTCCGCAACAGGAGGGGTTGTTGATGACGCCACACATGCGACCCACTGGCGGTGAATAAACAGGAAACAGCTGATAACAGGAATTAGCGAACAGCTAGTAGCAAGTAGTGTTGTCACGGTACCAAAAAATAATTGGTAGAAATTATTGGACCTGGAGCCGGGCTTCTCCGTCGCCGGTAAGCCTATGGCCGCCGTATTTGACCCGTAGTTGTGGGTTGAACGGGGGTCACAGACAGGAATACGGCGGAGGCTCTGCCGTATTCCTGTCTGTGACCCCCGTTCAACCCACAACTGGCAGGATTCGCCTTTCGTTTCTGCTGCCAGACTATCAGAGGGTGGAGATCTCTGATTGTCTGGTGGCGAGACTAGAGAATCGGTGAAGGACTGACTAGCTGCGGCTTCCCTCCCATGTCACTGTTTACGTCACACACTGAGCTACACATTTTGTTACTTGGTCACACCCCCCATTGCCCCGAAAAAGGCGCATTCTGTATAAATAAAAGTAGGAAGGCGGCATTTTGCCACACTCCCCGATTTTTTTTTATACTGCCAATGCTGAAAAAAGACTGATTGGGCTTTCCTGCAAATTTTCACAATTCCTATGTTAAAAGGGCTTAAGTTTCATCAGTTGCTCAATATTTAAGCAATATCACACCAGAGGGCATACTGTTGTATTGTATATCAGCACGGCTAAGGTCACAGGCGTGCCAATATTCCGTACATCAGCACAACATCAAGTGTGACATTGCTTTTATACAGCAGTTCTACAAGCGCAATTTATTAACCAGAAAAAGTGAGAACAGGTTATGATTTGTTTGTTTATTAAATGATTTATTTGACTCTGCCAATACAAATAGTTCCACATCTAGACTGGGACTGGACTGCTGTCAAGCAACACAAACACTCCTGCAGACTAGCTTGGTACTCTGTGTAGGCTGACACTTACCACAGGCCAGCTACTTTGTATCATGTAGGCTGCATCTGTGTGTTTTCATTTATTTTATGACCAGTGAAATCAGTCTGTTGACAGGCGCTTTGCTGGCATATATGTGTGATGCTGATGAGTAACAGTTTAATCAGTATGTTGCATAGTATAATGCTGTCATATGAGTATACCTGGGCCCTATTTCAGAAAGCAGGATTAGTGAAAACTCTGAGTATGTTAAGCCTGAGATGAGGGAAACTGAGTTTTCCATTTCACAAAGCCAGTTCAGCGTAACCCTGAGTCAGTTACTATGGCAATAGCCCCAAGCTTACACGTGGGAACTGCGAAATCACGCGATAAAAAGCACCATTCACTCCCCAAACTCCTGCAATTTCACTCCACGTCTTCTCCTTTTGGTTTGTATCCTTGTAGAAAGGATGTGTGGTGTCATACAAAATACTATGGTTTTCTACTTAAACTATGAGTTTCTCCTCGTCCATCTTTGCTCGGACCCTTGCACTGATTGACAACTTGTACCACAAGATGTGACGTGATTTTTTAAAAAGTTGAGAGTATACAATCTGTAGTCCATGCATTGTGTTGTATTTTGAAATTCACTGGATGCTGTGTGCGTTCCGTTTCCGGTTTGGTGCAATCTGAGTTACATGGCTTGACGTGCTATGGACGCGCAGTCGCTGAAAAATAGACTTGTGGCGCTTCTGGGACGCTCCAGACACGCTACGCGGCACACACTGTGGTAATTAAGCTATTCACTAGAATGGGAGCGAATCTGCTACGCAATGCACGGCGCTGCGCAGCGCAGACGGAGTATGTGGGGCGCTGCTGGTTTGAAGTTGGAACAGAGAGTTGCTGAGATTTACTTGAAAAAAAAGTCTTTAGAAAGTTTTTAGAAACCCCTGACCAAGAATAATAAGAGAATAAGCAGCTCGGAGTGTAAATGAACCTCTGGTGTAATAAAAAAACCCCAAAACAAACAAAAAAAAAAAAAACGCTTATTTGTATGAGGAAGCGGTGGTGAGATGGCGTCTATGCCGCATATGACTCGCTCTAACCCAAGAAGCAACCTGAACCTGAAAGAACCTAATAAGCAGGGCTTGATGCAAATTTTTTTCCCAAGGAGCACATGTGCTCCTACGTTGAAAAAGTAAGGAGCGCACAAAGAACTTTAGGGCCACAATGTAAATTTATCAAATAATGTGTTTTCCTTAATAAACGTGATGCAAATAGACATTTACAAGCAAAATTATTTAATGAATTTGTATACAAAATGTACAGAAAGGTAAAATCATCAAGATTTGAAAAAGTATTGCAATTTAATTTTGTCTTTAATGTTATTATCTCATATATATTATCTTTGCAATATCATTATCTTATATAATGTTATTACTATCCTAAAACATTCTCCAGGTCCTCTGAAACTCTGCAGGACTTATTTCCACCCAGCCGACAGCCTGGCCATGGAGAACGGTCCCTAACTGCGGGGAGAAAGGAACAGGTTTCCCCGGAGGTCCGCCGCTTAACCCGGTCCGTCTCCTCCACACTTTGACTTATTTCCACGCTGCCGACAATGGTACTTATATTCATTGTGCCGACAGTGGCTTGGAAAACCACCCATAACCGTGTCACGTGGTGCTCATCCAGGTTTTTATGTCTTTAAGGCAGTTATGGAGTTTAGTTAATTGATTACTTTCTTCTGGCTTCATCGATAAATACAACTGTGTATCATCCGCATAACAATGGAAATTTATAGAGTGATTTCTAATGATGTTACCTAAAGGAAGCATATGTAGAATAAATAGATTTGGTCCGAGCACAGAACCTTGCGGAACTCCAAAACAAACTTTAGTATGTAAGGATGATTCATTATGAACGTCAACAAACTGAAAACGATCAGATAAATAAGATTTAAACCAGCTCAGTGCAGAACCTTTTAGGCCAATTAAGTGATCCAGTCTCTGCAGTAGAATTTGATGGTCAATAGTGTCAAACGCCGCACTAAGATCTAATAAAACAAGTACAGAGACGAGTCCTTTGTCTGAAGCAATCAGAAGGTCCTTTGCTAAAAGACCGTAGTGCAGATTATGTTTTAGCTCTGTGGTTACGTTGTCTCTCCCTGCGGTGCACGTGTCACGTGATGTAAACACGGGTGAGCAAAGCTCATGCTTTCGCTGGTCTCGCGCAGGCGCGCACATGTGAGCGCGGAGCACAGAGAAGTAGTCAGAGCTATAGGCTACAGTGAGACTAAAAACAGAGTTCATATGACGTTTTTCAAAACAACTTTTTATGTTGCGGCTGCAGCACACTTGGATCACTATGGATGAGCAGTATGGAGGTACTCTGTGGATTCAATTTTGTGTTCTAGGACGTTAGTCTGGGGCGCCGTCTAGCATTAGGTATGCTAGCCGTTCCCCCCGCCGATCTCCACAAGGGATGTGAGGACTCTAAAACTTCACCGGGCCTCCGTCGGCATATGGGTGAGTAGATAATGGCTGAATTTTTATTTTTGGGTGCACTATCCCTTTAAAACAACAACATGTAACAATATGGTTTATGGAGAATTGGGGAGGTACCCACTTTGCACTGTAGTTAAAAAGAGAGTCATCGGTTATTGGAGGAGACTGATAGAAGGTAAAGAGAGTAAACTGAGTAAAATAATGTACAACTGTCTACTTAGACTGTATAATGCAGGTGTATTTGTGTCACCATGGATTCTGCAGGTAAAGCAGATACTGGACAACTGTGGTCTGTCTTATCTTTGGTTCTCACAAAAGTGTAATAATATTGACTGGTTTAAACTAACTGTTTAGCGGCGGCTGAAAGATCAGTTTGTGCAAAAATGGAAAAGTGAACTTAGTAGCATGACATCATGTTTAAACAAGTGTTTAAACTAGAAAAGTACTTACTGTGTCAAAATCAAAAGTTGAGACAGGCCATTTGTAATTTTAGGGTGAATAACACCAGAATCCCAAAAGTCACTGGAAGGTATAAAGGTCTGGACAGAAGCCAGAGATTTTGTAACCTCTGTAATGACAACCGTCTTGGTGATGAGTTTCATGTCTTGTTTGAATGTAAGAATGTTAGTATAATGAATCTCAGAAAAAAATACCTGCCAAAGTATTATGTAAATTATCCATCTATGTTTAAGTTAATTTTATTATTACAATCTGATAAGTTAAAAGTTATAAGTTAGGTGCCTTTTTGAAGAGTGCCCTGCCTTTGTTTTATTTGTTTATTTTCGTTACCAGAGCTGGAAAACAAAACATGTACAGCCTTGCATCTTGCTATGCTGAAGGATTGATATTGTACGTTTGTGCTCCATACCATGTACATATGGTCGTGAGTTAATTAAATGATTGAATGAATGGGAATTGGGGGTAAGTCTGAGGCTAATCGCCTGCTGAGTGTGTAGCAGGAAGGAGAGACATGGTGGGTCCTTTTGTGAATAAAGTTGTTGAGTTGTGCGGATTTACT